GCACTCTCCTGTGCATTTGATTCTGGGCCCTAGAAATAGAACTGGGCAGATATAAATGGAATCTAAAGTTGCAGGTGTACAAAGATATAAGCTTCATGGTGACTGTTTTTGGTGGAGTGGGGGGAACTGTTTTTTATACTGCTGTACCTCAACATTTGATAGAATGCAAGCATTCATTTCATTTGGTGAATGAATAATTTACTCAGTTTGGATGTAGGTAGGATAGTGTAAAAATGTGACTGTAGGAGCAAAGACTTGAAGGTGAGAAAGCACAATTATGTACTGGAGACAGCAAGTCAGGCAGTTAAAGACTGATCATTGTTTTCTGTGTTTTCTAAATGGATATTAGAGGAATAATCAGTATCATAGATCATGACATTCTAGCATCATTATTCTATGCATAATCCTATTTTATTTCAATTAATTAAATTTGAGTTTTATTAAGATATAATTAGCATACTTTAATAATTTACTTAATTTGATAAGTTTTGAAATACATTTGCATCCATGAAACTATCACAACAATTAAGATGATGAATATAACCATTGTATTCATCTCCTAGGTCACTGCTATAAAGTACCAAAATCTGGGTGTCTTAAAACAATGGAAACATATTCTCTAACAGTTCTGGAAACTGGAAGTCCAAAATCAGGTTGTAAGTAATGCTGCTCCTTTCTGAGAGCTCTAAGGGAGAATCTGTTCCATGCCTCTCTTCTAGTTTCTAGTGAGGGCCTGCAATTCTTTGCATTCCTTGGCTTGCGGATACATCTCTCCAATCTCTACCTATATCTTCACTTGACATTCTCCCTGTGTCTCCCGTCTTCACATGGTCTCTCATTAGGATGTCTGTAATATTGGAATAGGGCTCATCCTAATGACCTGATCTTAACTTGATTAAATTTGCGAAGATCCTTTTTCCAAAAAAGACTACATTCACAGCCACTAGAGTTTAGAACTTCAAAAACATTTCTGAAGGGACACAATTCTACTTGTAATATCTGCCATTCCCCCAATTTTTTCATGATTCTTTATAATCCCTCCTTTCTGACCCACCTCCCCATTGCCAGACAACTACGATCTACTTTAACTATAGTTTGTATTTTTTTATTTTATAAAAATGGAAGCATACGATATATGCTTCAATGTATGCTCTTTTGGAGTGGTTCTGGCTACTTTCATTTAGCATAATTATTTGTGAGATTTATCTATGTTATTACACATATTTATTCCTTTTATTGCTGACAAATATTTGATTGTATGAATATATTCCAATTGGTTTATCTATTTATTTGTTGATGGAGTTTGAGTTGTTTCCAGTTTTTGGATATTTCAAATAAAACCACTATGAATAGTAGTGTTACGTTTTGTATAAACATATGTTTTCTTTTCTTAGGTAAATATCAGCCTTCATGAGGTCCTGCAATTCTTTGCAGCCTTCCAATAGGAGTGAAATAGCTGTGTTGTATGCTAGGTGACTGCTTAAATTTTAATGCATTGCCACTGTACCATTTTATATTCCTACCAACAATGTATGAAGGTTCCAATTGCTCCACACCCTTGTCAAGACTTGGAATAATCAGTTTTTTTAATTTTAGGCTTTCTAATAAGTGTGTAGTAGTAGTATCTTCTTGTGGTTTTAATGACTAAAAATATCGAACAACTTCTCATGTTCTTAGTTGTGATCAGTATATCTTTTTCTGGTAAAGTGCCTGTCCAAATCTTTAGTCTATTTTGGTCAATTTATAACAGAAAAGGAATATGCTAAGATTTTGACTGGGATTGTGTTGAAACTACATATAAATTTGGGAAGAACTGACAAATTTTAACAAAATTGAGTTCTCTAAATCACAACATGATATATCTGTTTTTTCAAATGCCTTCTTTTTCAATAATATTTTGTAGTTTTTAGTGTGCAGATCTTCCATGTCTTTGACAGATTTACTTCTAAATATTTAATAATTTTTGATGCTATTGAAATTGTATTATTATTTTAAATTTCAATACCCAATTTTTATTGCTAGTATGTAGAAATATGTTTTTTTTTATATTGATCTTACATCCTGAAACCTTGAGAAGCTCACTTATTAGGTCTAGTAGCTTTTTTGGGGGTAGAATTCATCAAATTTTCTGTATAAATAATGATGTCTGCAAATAAGTTCAGTTTACTTCTTTCTTTCCAATCTGAGTGCATTTAACTTCTTTTCCTTGCCTTTTTGCACTGGCTACAACCTCCAATACAATGTTCAAGAGGAGTGAGAGCAGACACTTGCCTTGTTCCTGAATGTGGGAGGAACACATTAGTCTTTCAACATTAATCATGATATTAGTTGTATTTTTTATAGGTGCTTTTTATCAAATTGAGAAGTTCTCATCTGTCCCATAATACTAATTAATTTTTAAATAATTCAATGAAGTCCATGAAACCAGCACCCATGGATAATTGCATCCAGAGAACTGGTTCAATTACCTATATGCTGATTACTTCCGCATCTCCTTCTCCAGGCCCCTCTCTCCCCTCTCTTTCTCTCTCTTGAACTCTAGATCTTATTTTTTATTGTACTTCTTTACTTAGTCATTTTGTAGACACTTCATTTTTAATATGAAAAGCTCACTTTGGTCATTTCTTATCCCATAAAGAAAACACTAAATCAACACACCTGCTCCTTATTTATTTTTTCCTCTGGCTGTTCATCTGCATTCCTTCTTTATTTTTGATTTCACTATTGGCAAAACATAAAATCACCTATGTCAAAAACCTAAATGCTAGTCTCTACGATTCTTCCCTCCATCTCTTATAAACAGCTACTGAATTCTAGAAAATAAACTTCTAAATCTCTCTCAGATTTAGTCCCTTCTCAGTACCGGCTAGTGAAAAAATTAAGGGCTTTAGAGTTAACCAGACCTAAGTTCAAGTATATATATATCTCAACCATAAAACTTCGGATAAATTACTTAATCTCAGCTGGTTTTTCCATTTGTGAAACAAGAGTAAAATCTTATTGTAATATTAAGGTTTACATGGGAATAACTTATCTTTTAATGTGTCTGCCACATTATGTTTAATAAACCTTAATTGCTATTCCTTTTCACCTATTTCGTTTGCTTGTTTAGGCTATTATTATTTATTGTTTGGAACATTGTGATGGTGTTTTTAACAAGTCAAATTTATTCCACTCTCTATATGGTAGCTGAAGGTATCTTCCCAAAAGTAAAGTCCCATTATTTTTTCTTCTTCTAAAATTCTTCATTGGATCCCTATGGCCTACATAAGGTCAATCCTCTTAGCAATACACACTTGTCCCCAGGCTGACCTCCTGCCACTCTCTAGGTTTACTCTTAAAAACGACTTGCTAGTCCATTGTATGGGGTTGCCCTTTAGTCCCTTTGTCTTTTTATATTTGTTTGCATACACTTTCCTTCCTGGTCTCTCAAGTGAACCCTCATTCTTTTTTTTTTGAGTTGGAGTCTCACTCTGTCTCCCAGGCTGGAGTGCAGTGGCACACTCACGGCCACCCCAGTGTCAACCTGCTGGACTCCGGCGATCCTTCCGTTTCAGCCTTCCAAGTAGCCGGTACCGCCGGAACTACAGGTGCACGCTACCACGCTCCTCTAATTTTTTATTTATTGTAGAGATGGGGTCTCAGGAAGTTGCCCAGGCTCGTCCTGAACCCGCAGGCTCAGGCAATCCACTCGCCTCGGCCTCCCAAAGTGCTGGGATTACAGGCTGAACCTTCATTCTTGAGCCTCAACTTCCAGTTTCCTTCCTCTGGGAAAATAGCCTAAACCTATCCAAGTGGTAAGGCATTTTCTCTTAGACCAACAATTATTGTTTTTTTTTATTATTTGTTGAAGGCTATAAAGGCACAGTGTAGTCTTGGGAGAGGAGCAAGGGCCAGCTTTCCTTAGGAAGAGACATTGAAAGATTTGACGGATGGTCCTCATTATTACCTTTAGAATTATCTCCCAAAGTACCCAGGCAACGGCTTTTGAATAGCTGCTTTGAAAATGATTTTGATGAGTCAATTACAGAAGACACAATTTTTTTTTTTAAACAATTTTTCAATTGATCCTTTTGACTATCTCAAATAAAAGATTCGGCTCCACAATCTATGGACAGATTGAAGCCCACATTTAAATCTAAATGTAGCAGCCACTATGTATAGCATCTTCTACTCCTAGCAGTAACCCGGCTATTATTATCCCTATTTTACAGATAAGGACGTTCAGGTCCAAAATGAATAGTTCAACCATTCTTTCCCAGTATCACTGTTGGGAAGTAGTTGAGTCAGTGGTCCTAACCCCAAGGTTTTAGGCTCCCAAGTCATGTTTTCACCAAGCATTTATTTCTATATCTTTTAATTTCCAGAATTGTCTAGCGTCTGGTTTCTGATAGGTGTTCCACAAATAAATACACGTGAAAGTCTTATGCCAAAGATGACATTATTTCTACTCCTGTCACTCTCACCGACACACCCTGCAACTTCCTCCCACTAGGAGAGGGCTTCTAAATCTGGTTTCGGCCTTGCACGAAAAATATGAATTCCAAGTTGTTTATCCAACCCCATGACACCCTCTTTTGCACTGGACGCCACTAATGTCACACGGTCTTGTCGGGGGAAACTCTTTTTTTTGAGGACACTAGTCAGCGGAGCCCGCCTTCTCCATGTTCCTGCAAGGGCCTGAGTTCCTGGGCCGCCTTCCTCGGCACTCAAGGTTTTTAAACCAGGTGCCTTCAATGAGGAAACCCAAAGCCACACCTTCCCGGATCCCTCAAAGCCCACAGGACCCCCTTAGCTCCTTCCACCCTTTCTCTGTTCGCCCAACCCCGCGTGTCCTCTCGGCCCCTGTGTGGAAATGGCTGCAGCCCGAGACTCCAAGCAACTAGCACCGCCCTCCCCTGAGACCCAGCGCAGAAGACAAGCGAGAGGCCGGCACGTTGCGCCGTAGGAGACTAGAGCGGAGTCGTCGCCCGGCGTACGCGCTGACGTCACGCCGACGGCCGGCCGCGTCGGCCCCGCCCACAGCGCGGCGGGTCCGGTTTCCGGCGAGAGCGTGGACCACCAGCCCGAGGCGAGCCCTTCCGATTGTGACACCGCTGGTGGCAGCCTGAGTTGGCTTCTTCAGTGGTGATCGCCAGAATGCCTCACTTGGAAAACGTGGTGCTTTGTCGCGAGTCCCAAGTGTCCACCTTGCAATCCCTGTTTGGAGAGGTATTGTGGTCAAACTGTCTTTTTTCTTCCAAATTCAGGAGGCAAACATTTCCGTGGTCTTTCAACTATTCCAGTATTTTTTTTCGGGTTTGGATGCGGGCCAGTACGCCCTTTTTTTACGTTGCGAAAGTCTTGTAGGTTTGTCCCATGCTTTTACCCAAAGTAACTTCAGATTAGTTCCTTTAAGCGGAAACTACGGGAAGGACCGGCCTGGCCTGCACGCTGGTCCAGAGCGTGCTCTTTTACAAACGCGCCACAGTTACGCGACGTTAGCCCAGAGTAGCTACCAGAAGCAAAGCAGTGCTCCAAGTTTAAAAATCTTTAAGCAGAATTGTAAAAGCCCAGAAGAGGTCTGCTTTAGAGTTCTGTCCTTAACTGGTACTTCACATGATGCCCCAGAGCGGAAGTTGCCTTCTCAAGGGTGAACACAGCTAGGGAGTTATTTTCCATAGGCAGGAGGTTGCATTCAGCAATTCAAAGCTTAATTTATTTTTGATTATTTTCTGGTAGCCTTTGGTATGCCCTTTGCCGCAGACTCATCAGTTAGCCTTGGAGAATGAATCAGACTTGGATTTTACCTGTAAAGAAGGAGAGTTTAGGGTCCTGAACATTCCCCCATCTTCTGATTTGTTTTTTAAACTACAGTCATGCTTATTTGATGAAGGCAGTTTTATCGTTGTATGACCATCATAGAGTGTACTTACATAAGTCTATATGGCTTAGCCTACTGTACACCTAGGCTATATGTTATAATCTGATGCTCCAGGGCTGTAAACCTGTATAGCATGTTGCAGTAATGAATACTGTAGGCAGTTGTAACACAATGGGAAGTATTTGTGTATATTAACATAGGGAGAGTACAGTAAAAATGTTATCATCATATGAGACAGATCACTGTTGTATATGTGTTCGATCATTGACTGAAATGTTACTAGGCGGCAGGTGACTACTTTCATCCAGTTAGAATGTTGAATAACATCTCACATTTCCTGCCTAAATCTGAGTTTCTGAGATGGTCTGTGAAATATTAGTGGAAAAGTACCCTTCATCTAAATGGGGTACATGAGTTAGGAAAGTGAAAGGTCAGTGATATTATTACTAAACTTTTTTTGATTATGTCATATGCATTTCTTCTGGGAATTGATAAACCCAGATCTCACCAACCTGAAAAGTACTCTCCTGAAAAAAAATATTGGTAAATAAGGATGAATAGCATTGACTTGATAGTGGTGGGTTACAAAAAGGATTTTGACCTTTGCTCTTGATGCAGATCATGTTTAGCAATATTAATATTGCCTTTCTGCAAGATGCTGTGCATGTGGGAAATGCAGAGAAAATAAAGAACTGGTTCATGTTTCTAAGAAGATTCATTCATTTGTTCAATAAATAAATATTTACTGAGTACCTTTTATACGTCAGACACTCTGCCAGGTTCTGGCTTATTACCATTTATGTTAGAGAGGTTTATAAAAGTGAAAGGTGGAAAAGAGCAGTATAATTCTAGGTAGCAATAGTAAAGATGTTATAATGTATTATTAGAATCCAATAATGGATGCAGGCAAGTGTGCTAGGATTCCAAGGAAAGATTTAGCGTAGCCTGGAAAAACCACCTGAAGCATGGTCTTGAGCTTCTCTTTCAAGGTGAAATATAGTATTTGGTTAGCAGAGAGGCTCAGCAATGTGCATTTAACTCTTGAGACAGAATTTTTAAGCCAGTTAATTTATAAGATTGTTATATATAAACTTTAATAAAGGATTCATTTATTAAAATATCTATTGATTTATTGAGTTTTTGGTCTGTGTTCAACAGTTGGACTGCTTTTGTCATAGCTTTATGCCATTTAGAAAATGTTTTTCCTGTATAAATCTGAGTTTCTGGTTTGTCTTGTTTAACCTAGTGAGTAGAATGTCATAAATGTTTGTGACTACTATTGCAGTGGTAGATGATTATAGAAGATCAACTTTCTCGTGGAAATTGCATCATCCAGTTTTCTTATAATTATTTTTATATTTTTATATTTATATATTTTTTTGAAAGCAAGATTTATTGAGAGGAGAGAAAAGTTCCCACAGTGGGAGGGGACCCGAGGGGGTTGCCCTCTTGTAATTATTATTATTATTATTTTTTGAGAAAACAAGATTTAGTGAGAGGACAGAAAAGCTCCCACAGTGGGAGGGGACCCAAAGGGGGTGCTCTTGTAATTATTTTTAAAATGAATGTCTCCCACTAGACTATAATCTCCTCTAAGGAGATACTGTCATTTTCTGATATTTATGCTCTTCTGTGCCTCATGGTTTTCAGCAATTAGTAGGTATCTATTAAGTGTTCATTGAATGAATAAAACATAGGTGTTTGTAGTATTGAGTAGATCAATAGAGGGGCCTTTGACAATATTTACTTTTTTCTAGGCTGCTAACTTAATGTTACTACAAGAGAATCATATGAGTATGTATTTTAAAATACATGCTATGTAGATTTTATCAATGTTTTATTTGATGTAATATATGTATTATGCCAGGATCATGCATAATTTGGAAGTATTCTGTAAGTTTTTCTAAGAATGAGAACTTTTGAAATTCCTTCTAACCCTGTGATTATATATGTTTACTTTCAAAGCATTCAAATGTACAGTGAAGTTGCAGCTTGCATGGTGATTAGATTCTTTATAAAGGATTAAGATCAAGATGGAGTATGGACAAAATTATCCTTGAAAAAAATCCCCTAACTCTTGAGCTATAAGAGTTTGTATATATAAGCCTATATAATAATAAAAAGTACAAATATATAATAAAATATGCCAAATACAGTTTTACAGAAAATTTAATTTCATAACAGAGAAAGCTCTGAGAGTTGAATTTAAGTAAGTTCAAACTGTGTTGCTGAATCCACTGTATGCTCACTGTTCAGGTAATTTGGACTGAATATTTTACTTTACCACATAAAGTTTTCTCACAAGTTGATAAGTGCTTGTTTTCTGTTTTGTACAGCCTAAGATTCACCTTGTCTTTTCTTCCCTTAGAGACATCATTTCAGCTTTCCATCCATTTTTATTTATGGACATACTGCTAGTGGAAAGACCTACGTCACACAAACTTTGTTGAACACTTTAGAGGTAAGAATACAACTATCAAAATCTGTTCTTTTTCATTGTTTAATTTATAATATTGCTACTGATAATTCTGAATCTCCACAAACACAAAACTGAACATACCACTTTTCCACTGCCCTTGTTCTCATGTTACCTCTCTCTGTGAGTGATCTTACTATTGACACCGTTGTCTAAACTTTCATTTTCTTAAGTTTGTACTTTTCCTTACTCATTCAGTAAATCACATCAATAAACATTTTCTACTGATTCTGCATCCTTAAAGTCATGATGCCATTTCCTTTCATCATGGCCACTGCTGCTATCCATTTCATTTACCCTGTTTTTTCCATGGATTTCTGTAAGTCTCTTAATTGTAATCTTCACCTTGCAGGTAGCCCCTGCAAATCTTACTTAAGAGCTCTAGGACTGTGTTAAGTGATGTGCCTGATGGATAATACCTTTCATGAGCTGGATTCATTTTATCTTTCATAATATAATGGTTAAGAGTCTGGGCTGTAGAGTCTGGCAGACTCATGCTACTCTTCTGGACGCACCACTTAGTGCTTTTCCCATCTGCAAAGTAGGGCATAGTGACAACATTTAAGATTATGAGGATTGAATGCTAATACACGAAAAGTACTTTTTTTTTTTTTTTTTTTAACGAAAAGTACTTTTTACCATACTTAATACATGGTAAACATTCAGTGAAGGTTGGCTATTATTTATGAGCATTGCTCTTTCATATCCTTTTTTTTAATTTTAATTTTTATTATAAAGATGTGGGGTACATTTCAGGTTTAGGTATACAAACATTGATCATGCAGATACCCTTGTTGATAAGGTATACCTCTCCCTCCCCCAGCAGTTTCCCTCAACTGCCAATCCCACCCCCCTCCCCTGACAGTTTCCCATATGACCCAGCAATTCCCCTATTGGGAATATATCCAGAGGAATTCAAATCATTCTACCAAAAAGATACCTGCACATGTATGTTTGTTGCAGCTGTATTCACAATAGCAAAAACATGGAACCAAACATGTTGCCCATCGAAGCTGGACTGGATAAAAAAAAATGTGGTGCATATATACGATGGAATATTATATAGCCATACAGAAGGACCAATATATGGACTTTGCAACAACTTAGATAGGTTTGGAGTCGATCATACTCAGTGATTTTTCATATCCTAAATCAGGGACAGGCAGACTTTTTCCTAAGGGTCTAATAGTAAACATTTTGGGCTTGTGGACTGTATAGTTTCTGTCTCAACTACTTAACTCTGCCATAGTATAAAAGCTGCCATGGACAATCTCTATCTAAATGAGAATGGCTGTGTTTCAAAGCAACTATATATGTAAAAACAAGTGGCTAGCCCACAGGGTTTGGTTTGCTGACCCCAGTCTTACTGTAGTTTTGAGAATGCATGTTTGCATGGTTAGTATGGCATATTGAGCTGCTTATAGTTCCTACTCTCTTATTCTTAAACCTTGGCATATGCCGCTCCCTCTGGTTAGGATGGCTTTCCTGTACTCACTCTTCCTTTACTACCCTATTGTTTGGCAAATGCTTATTTATTTTGCTGGATTTTCTTTTTCTTATACTTCAGGAGGTCTTTGCCCCTCTGTTTTGCAACCTCAGCACACTGTGCTTAATTCTGTCATAATATTTAGCTCTCTCAGCTGTGATTTTTTTTCCCTGGCTTTAGATGGTGAGTTTCTTGAGATTATCCCCAAGCACAATGCTTGGCACATATTAACTTGTGGATTTCAGCCTTTTATCCCAAAGATTTGCTGTGCATTTTAAAAACAGATGCCTAGACTATATACTAGACTTCAGAATCTAAGTGTGCAAGGTCCTGGTTCAGGCATTTGGATTTGAGAACCCCCTATATGGAGTGTCCAAAAAATATATGTTGAATAAAAGCATGAAAACCTGATAAGATAGTTTCATGTTTAAAAGCTATATTCCATTTTTAAAGCGCCTTATAATTTTTGCTACTACTTAATCAGTGTACTATATGAAGATCATCACTACTCATATGGAAACACAGACAAGCACTTGGAATATGTTTCCACTAAAGATCATAGATAGAAAAAATGCTGTAAGCAAGACACTTAATTCATAACAAAATGTTGTGGGCTCTTGTACATAAAGGAATGAGAGTGAAGAGGGTTAGTAAATACTGGCAAAACTGTCCCCAAGTAAGTATAATGTGACTTTAGTTACACTGTTATTGAGAGATAAAGAAAATCCTTCTTAATGAATGAAGTTTCTAAAGTCACCAAACACAGTTAAAGATTCTATCATTAGTGCCAGATGGCACAAATTATCTGACTCTGAATGACCTGTACTGCTTTTGTAATTTTATTTTGAGAGCAGGCTGTATTTGTGAGCAGGTCTTTTGTTTCCTTATTATTTCTGGAGTTACTTCATGTAGATCTTTAAATGAAGAGCTAGTTCTTATAATCTTCATAGGAAGATTGCTATGGTTTCTTAACTCTTGAAATTCCTTTTTTTGACTTAGGTTCCATCATCACTAAGAGTATTATATTAGGCCAGGTGCAAGGCTCATGCCTGTAATCCCAGCATTTGGGAGGCTGAGGCCAGAGTATCACTTGAGGCCAGGAGTTGAAAGGAGTTGAACAGCCTGGGCAACATAAGACCCCATCGCTACAAAAAATTAAAAAAAATTAGCCAGATGTGGTGGTGTGTACCTTTAGGCCTAATTACTTGGGAGGCTGAGGTAGAAGCATTGCTTGATTCCAGGAATTTTAGACTGCAATAAGCTATGATTGTGACACTGAACTCAAACCTGGGTAACAGGATGAGACCCTGTCTTTCTCTCTCTCTCTCTCTCTCTCTCACTCTTTCTCTCTCTCACACACACTCTCTTTCTTTCTCTCTCTCTCTCTCACACACACACACACGTGCACACATACAGAAATACATTATCCTAAAGTTATAAATATGAAATTCCTGTTGAGAATTTTAACATTCAGTTGTACTTGGGTTTTTCTTTCCCCCGCCCCCCAAGGTGTTTCCTTTTTTTAATGTTGTTTTATTTTAGAGTTGTAGGGTACAAGTGAGGGTTTGCAACGTAAGTAGGCTGCATGCCAGTGAAATTTGGCCTTCTTGCTGGCCCTCTCTCCTCTTGGTAGTGGACTAGGAACCCATTTTGTTGCCAGATGTTCCTTCCCCTTCCTCAAGCCATGCCCTGTGACTGCCAATCCCACCCTTGTGCTAATGTGACTGGAGTTCAGGGCCCACTTATGATTGAGAAAATGTGATACTCAGTTCTTTGTTTACTTCGTATAATGCGTCGAACTACATCCAAGTTGCTGCGAAAGCCATGCTTTTGTCTTTCTTTATGGCTGCGTAATATTCCATCGTGTATATGTACCACATTTTTTTAGTCTACTTTCAGTGGGCATTTGGGTTGACTCCATGTTTTTGCAGTTGTGAATAGTGTGGCCATAAATATGTGTGAGCAGGTGTCTTTTTATAGAGCAATTTATGTTCCTCTGAGTATATTCCCAGGGGAGGGATTGCTGATCATATGAAAGCTTAATTTTTAGTTCTTTGAGAAATTGCCATACTGTTTTCTATAGAAGTTGGAGTAGTTTACATTCCCACCAACAGCGTAGAAGTGTCTGCTTTTCTCCACAGTCGCGCCAGCATCTGTTATTTTTTGACATGTTAATGATAGCCATCCTTACCAGTGTTAGGTGGTATCTCATTGTAACTTTGATTTGTATTTCTGTGATGATTAGTGAGTCAGAGAGTATTTTCATTTGTTGGCTACTTCTGTGTCATTCTTTGAGAAATATTGGTTTGTCCTTTGCCCACTTTTTAATGGGGGTATTTCCTTTCAGTTCATTTGAATTCCTTGTAGATCCTGGATGTCAGGCCTTTGTCAGATGCATAGCTTGCAAATATTTCTTCCCATTCTGTGGGTTTCTCTTTACTCTCTTGATGGTTTCTTTTGCTGTGCAAAAGTTTTTCAGTTTGATAAAGTCCCACTTGTCTATCTTAGCTTTTTGTTGCATTTGCTTCTGGGGATGTTGTCATGAATTCATTGCCTACTTCAATGTCCAGAAGGGTGTTCCCTATATTTTTTTCTGGGATTCTTATGGTTGAAGGTTTTACATTTAAGTCCTTGATCTGTTTTGAGTTGATTTTTGTATGTAGTGATAGGTAGGGGTCCAGTTTCATTCTTCTGCATATGGCTAGCCAGTTTTCCTTAGCACCATTTGCTAAATATGGTTTCCTTTCCCCAATGTTTATTATTAATGGCTTTGTTAAAGATGAGTTGGTTGAGGGATCATGTTTTTATTTCCAGATATCTGTCCTGTTCCATTGGTGTATGTGCCTATTCCAGTACCAACATCATGCTGTCTTCACTACTGTAGCCTTATAATAAGGTTTTCAAAGCACAATAACAGGCCTAGGGAACAGAATTGTACGGGTTTCTTTATGAGAATTCTTTAGAGGAAAATATGTTTGCTTTGAATCCCGATAATGGCAAAATCAAAGAAATAAATGAGCTGAGTTTAATGAAGGGACTATTTTAAAGAGGTTGAGGAAGTTTTAAGGGACTCATCAAGGGGTAATCCAGGGTCTTTACCACCCCTAGACCTGAAGTGACTATAGAAAGGAGGTTTTACCAGACCCCAAAAGAGGTGTGGTTTCAGAAGAAGGACTGCCTAACTGGAGCTGTGGTCTCTGTTAGTAGAGCACATCCAAGCTGTGGGCTGCTGAAGGGTGGTGTTGGTGAGAGTGATGGGAATAAATATCTGACTTCTCTTTTCTGCCATTTTCCCTCAGTTTCTTGCTGGTTCTTCCAGATGTGTAATGTGTTTTATATTAATGAATTTATTATAATATTTTAAACTTTAAAAAAATAATTATCTTTGGAATTGGAATACATTTTAATATAATGCCTCATCATAACAGCTAAGTTATAAATTCACTGGAGGGACCAAATTTTATTTTTCTAAATACAGCCAGAATATAAGAGAGTCTAGGTGCTGTAATCAGTAGCTGTCAGGCCTTTGGGGCACAGGTCAGGTTGGAGAATGGTGGGATATAGATTTGGAAAAGCAAGTGGTGATAGTCAGCAGAGCCATTATGTTGTAAACGTGTTTTTTATTTACACTATTTTTGTTTTTTTTTTCAGCTTCCACATGTCTTTATGAATTGTGTTGAATGCTTTACCTTGAGGCTGCTTTTGGAACAAATTTTAAACAAGTTGAATCATTTTAGTTCTTCAGAGGATGGATGTTCTACTGAAATAACCTGCGAAACATTTAATGACTTTGTTCGCTTATTTAAGAAAGTAACCACAGCTGAAAATCTCAAGGATCAGACTGTATATATTGTGAGTAATTGAGCTTGATTATATCATCTCTTTTTTGAAATCTGATTATTTATTAGATCAATTTTTGTTTATTTGTTTTGAATCCTGTCATGCACGTTGCTCTGTGGAAGGTGCTTTTGGGTTATGAAAATGTGTTAGATGTGTTCCTTATCCAAAGGAAGCTTCATTTAATAGAAGAGTTATGGTACATATTCACATATGACTATGCAGAATGTAATAAGTGATAGCCTCGAGATACAAAGTACTAATTTACATGCATCTGATACAGCTTCATGAGGTAGCATTTGAGATAGACCTCAATGAATGATTAGGGTTTTATAGGAAGAAACTGAAGAAGAGGAATTTCATATGGAAGAAATTATGTAAGCAAAGGCATGCATTTGGGAACGAAGGACATAGAGTGCCAAATAGTCTAGTTTTAGTAGGTTATAAAGTGTGGAGGGAGAAAAAGACTGGAAGGTAAGTTGGGGCAGATCATGGAGGGTCTTGAAAGCTATATATAAATAAAGTGCTTTATTTCATTTCTTAGGAAGTAAAAGGAGGTAATGAAGATCTTAAATATGCCTTAGGAAAATTACTCTGAAGGCATTTTAAATAGGTAGATTGGAGGGGGATGAAAGACTGAAGGTTAGAAAAATGGTTTTAAGGCTTTTGTTGACTATGAGAAGATATTTGAGCCTGTACTAGAGTTGGGGCAGAAGATGCAGAAAGACATAAGTGGAATAGACAGCAAAGACCAAACTTGTGCATTGTGTGTGGGCTAAGTTTGTGGGGGAAAGAGGAGTTGTTTGATTTTTAGGTTGACTACATTGATAAGTTGTAGTTGTCGCATCAATGTGGAAATGACTAGCAGACAATTGAAAATGTGTAATGTGTCTTACAATAGTGAATTTATTATAATATTTTAACCTATTAAAATATAGTTATCTTTGGAATTGGAGTAAATTTTAATAGAATGCCTTATCATAACTGCTAAGTTATAAATTCACTGAAAGCCGGGCTCGGTGGCTTAGCCTGTAATCTCACGCCTTTGGGAGGCTGAGGTGAGCGGAGTGCCTGAGCCCACGAGTTTGAGACCCACCTGGGCAGCGAGACCTCATCTCTACAATAAATCAAAAAATCAGCCAGGCGTGGTAGCGCACGCCTGTAGTTCCGGCTACTCGGAAGGCTGAGGCAGAAGGATCGCCGGAGCCCAGCAGGTCGAGGCTGCGGTGGCCGCTCCAGTCTGCACTCCAGTCTGGGCGACAGAGTGAGACTCCAACTCAAAAAAAAAATAAATAAATAAAATAAATAAATAAATTCACTGGAGAGACCAAATTTTAGCATTCTTACATCTTCTAAAATGTGTAAAACATTTTATACATTTTCTTCTACATGCTAGTTTCATTCATTATATATTCAACAAATATTTATTGAGGACTTTCTATGTGCCATGGGCACTGTTCTAGGAATTGGAGATAGAAAAAGGAAAAAAACAGTCTCTGACCACTTGTAGCTTAAAGCATAGTTGAGGAAGAAAGAGAATAAGCAAGTTAATATGTAGTATGTCAAATGTGGTAAATTAACCCTTCCCATTCCAAGACATCTTGAGGATCACCTACCAGCAACTTGACCACACTTTTTTACAAAATAGTGAAAAATGAATCACTTCATAGTAAATAGTGTAGCATTTGTTGGGTCACATTCCCAACAGGGCCTCCAGATCGTTAGGTCATACCCACCAGGGTTGTGGGTGTGTGATGTGTGATCCAGTGCCACGTGAAAGATACAAAGAATTGAACAGAAGTTAGATTGGAAAATATAGTTTATTTAGAAAGTAAACGAGAGAGAGAGAGAGAGAAAGAAATTCACCGCTTCAAGGTAGGAGAGGAGGCCAAAGCTTAGGAAAAGTGGTGGTGGCCATAGCTCAAAGAGCACATGGCCATACCAGAGTCAGAGTCAGTAAAGCAATGGTAAATGGCTGCTTGAGGTTGAATGCTTTTAAACATTCCCCTTGATGGGGGCAGGTCATTAAGGTGTTTGAGTGGTGGTCTGCTCCATGTCATCATGAAGGGGCAGGTAAGTGCAGCTACTGACATAAGGTGTACCTGCAGGGATCATCTCTATGGATTTTGAAATATTCACAAATATGGGAGTTGTATGAGAGAAGTGATAGTCAAAAACTTCAATCTTTAAAGAATGAGGATTGATCTAAGAATATGTGGCTAACTCGAACAAGTAGAGTTTCAAAGCTGAGTGTCTTTCAGAAGGGAAGGAGAATCAATATTCTAAAAACAGCCATGAAGGGTAAGTAGGGCCCTATTCATTTTTCAAACCAAATGGATCAACCTTAGGCATTCCATAAGTATTTATTGACTAAATGTTAAGGGTAGAAAGGTTTACAGGTGTTTAGTATTGAACATTTCTGAGAGTAAATCTATGGAATGTTCAGCTATATAATATTTGGGTTGGTAAGCTTCAATACTTAGGAAATAATTTAGGAAGGTGGTTAAGAATGTTTTCTAGTCAGAAACTAGCTTACAAATTGAGAGTCTATTAGAATGCCTTAGTGTACATTATTAAGAAAAATGTTTGAATCTGAATTGCAATTTTTACTTGTCTGAATGTAAGTTATCTGATAATTGCTTTAAAAGAAGGATCATTCACTAGAATATCATAAAATTGTTAGTTGCAGTGGGTTAACTATTATCAAATCAGAAGAATGAACTATTTACTGCTTTAGCTTTGCATTTTGCATTAAAATTGGCATAAAAAATGAACTAATTTGTTCAAACTAATATGTGTTCTGGATTAGAGAGTTATTTAAATGAAGATTGATGGGAAATTCCACAATTGGAATGCATCATCTAGAAACTAATTTATGTCTTTATAGCAGTAAATAATTTTCCTTTATTTTGTCTAAACTAATTAGGAATGAAATATTTTAGGCATAAATTTTCTCATACATTGTTTTAAGCTATTAATAAAACATACAAAAATGTGGATTATTTGGGAAATAATATATATATGTATTAAAAAAAAATTTTTTTTTAAGCTAACAGACTTTTATTAGATCCTCTTTTGGAATTAATAAGTAAAATATTAGCTTCCCACATTTTTGAGAATTAAAATTTAGCCTATCATCACTTGGCTTAGGTAGTGGTATCATTCAAGTAGAGTAACTACAGACATCCCAAGGACCTGGATGTCAGAAGACCAGAGGTCTAGTCCTGATCTTTCCACTAATGGGCTTTGTTTTGTTTTGTTTTGTTTGAGTTGGAGTCTCATTTTGTTTCCCAGGCTGGACTGCAGTGGCATGGTCATGGCTCACTGCAGCCTTAACCTCCTGGGCTTAGGCAATCCTCCCTCCTCAGCCTCCCGAGTACCTGGGACTTCAGGTGTGTACCACCACAACTAGCTAATTATTTTATTTTCTTGTAAAAATGAGATCTCGCTATGTTGTCCAGGCTGGTCTTGAACTCCTGGCCTCAAGTGATCCTCCCACCTCAGCCTCCCAAAGTGCTGGGATTGCAGTCGTGAGCCACTACACCCAGCCAGGCTTTGTGACCTTGAGTAAATCATTCCACTTCTATGCGACTCAATTACCTCTTTATTCAAAAAATGGGAAATGATTGGTCTTGACCCTCCCTGAAGATTAGGAGAATTAGTGTGCCAAGCTAGAATATGCACTAAGAACATTAGAGAATGAGATGACCCAGTAATGTTGAGTCAGGCAAAGGGAGGAGACAGCAAGCATAAATAGAAAGGCATATGCAGAAATGGTGAAACCAACATGGACTGAATTGGAAAAAAAAAAAGAGGTAAGTTTCACCATGTCCCAGGAAAAAATATCCAGGAAGAACCAGTAATGTTTAGCAAGGGTGCCAAGATAATTCCATAGAGAAAGAATAATCTTTTTAACAGTCAGTGGTGGGACAGGAAGTATTCACAAGAAAAAAAGGAGAGCTGGACCCCTACCTCACACTATATACAAAAAATAATGAAAAATGAATCAAATACCATTGTGAGAACTAAAACTATAAAAATACTTAAAGAAAACATAGACATAAATCTTCTTGACTGTGGATTGGGCAATGGTTTCTTAGATATGGCACTAAAAGAAACACCAACAAAAGGAAAAAAGTAGGTATCTTGGGCTTCATCAAAATTAAAAAGGTTTGTGCTTCGAAGAATACCATCCAGAAAGTGAAAGCAACCCACAGAATGGGAGAAAATCTTACGAATCATATGTCTGATAAAAGACCTGCATCCAGAATATACAAAGAGCTTGTAAAACTCAGTTATAACAAGACAACTCATTCCTGGTGTTCTAGTGGTTAAGAAACTAGAAAATTTTTTAAAAGAACAACCAAGCCGGGCTTGGTGGCTCAGCCTGTAGTCCCGCACCTTTGGGAGGCTGAGGTGAGTGGATTGCCTGAGCCTGCGGGTTCGAGACCCGCCTGGGCAGCGAGACCTCATCTCTACAATATATCAAAAAATCAGCCAGGCATGGTAGTGCACCTGTAATTCCGGCTACTCAGAAGGCCGAGGCGGAAATCACCGGAGCCCAGCAGGTCGAGGCTGCGGTGGCCGGGAGCAGCCACTGCACTCCAGTCTGGGTGACAGAGTGAGACTCCAACTCTAAATAAATAAATAAATAAATAAAAAATAAAAGAACAACCAATTAAAAATGAATAAAAGATCTGAATAGATATTATTTGGGGAAATGTATTTATTGCCTTTTATAATTTGCAGTAGACTTACTAATAAAGTATAAATGTTTAGAGAGAAAAAGAGTTTCTTTTGGAGAAAGAGTGATTTTAAAAAAATATACAATATGAACCTAAAACATATTGACATACTAGAAACCTAGGAAACTATCAGAGTCATTTAAAAAAGACATGGGGACTACTAGGGTTATTTAAAAAGACATAGAAACCAATTTACAAAGACCTAACAAGGAAAGAGAATTGCAGGCCAATTTCCTTAATGAACGTAGATGCAAAACTTTTTTAGAAGAT